TAATATTTTAATATTTAATAAAATATTTTATTGTGATTAGACGGTTAAAATAAACAAACAATTAACTCTCTAAATTATTTCTCTGTAACTAACCTAACTACAAAGGAACACATTTCTTACAAAACTTTGTATGCTGGAAGGACCATAAATCCTGGTCACTAAAGTCATTATACTTCACTGTGAACTAGTTTATTACAATACGCTGCATATATCATTTAATCATCCAATATTTAGTTTAGGTGCAAATAAAGAATATCACAAATTTGTGTGTCTGGTATAAATATCATTCGACTGTAGGCTACTAAACTTTACTAATATCCTACAAAGCACTTTACTAATATGGCAGCCGTTCCATCATCCGAGGTTTGAACGACAGCATCTCCATGGGATTGCGATCCAGAAAATTTGTATTTGTGTACCTTCAAAACCCATGGAACTACAGTGAAAATAATTCTTTCCGTATAATGTAGACATGACGATAATGAAAATTCTGTATTTTAATTGAGTTCGGCCGCAGTAACAAATGAACCACTGCAGGTATGAATATTAAATAAGGTGAGGAAGTAGATGACAGGGTACGCATTCCCGTATGAATTAATTATCAAAGGCGCGACATCTTGGGATTATAACTGACAAACTTAACAAAACGGGAATGTGTAGGCCCTGCTAATGAAAACTGTGTGCAGAGTTAATAATGAAGTTTTATTACTTCTGAATTCCTTCCAATCTCATTTTACGGGACGAAACACATCTAAATAACTCGGGCGTCACTTCAGTTCTCCGTAATTCTTATGACGTAGACATGGTTAGTTTAAGATCTAGGGCGGAGGTCGACGGTTGCGGCAGAACTACTAGGAACAGAGAAGTCCGTAAAGGCGTAATACGACCCGGAATACACAAAGGTTCCGCATGTGTTCGTGGAGAATTTTAAATGCATTTAACCCTATCTTACCTAACCTAACCTAGTCTAGCCTAGAGCTTCTTAACCTAACCTAATCCACATGACGGCTCCTTTCAAACCGGTGGGCACCACCCCAAACGCATATTCCTCTCTTGGGCCTCCGTCCCACCAGGTGGCCTGCACCCCACCAAAGGGGAACTGTCCCACCCTTGAGACATCACTCTAAAAATATCTTGATGTTGTTGGGCGCTCAGCCCCAATAGGGGCTTTGACCCCAGACATCTACTGATGTTTCCTCCGGTCAGTGGTTCAGCTGTACCAGGGTCACCCTATATTGCACCCCACACACGTCGCTTTTTCGGGTCCCATCTAACCAAGAGGGTTCTGCCCTATCCAGTAGCCGAAAACCATTTTAGACGACTGCTCATCAGCAAATTTCATCCAAATCTATCTAGCAGTTCTGGAGTTGAATCATGAGGAGAGACAGACAAACAGGACCGACCAGCCTGTGTGCGACCTTTTGGTCTTCGTGCGAAATGACGCATAATAAACATGAAGTAGGAAGGCAGATATACGTAGTATTTATAACCAGTGAATACACAAGAGACTAGTATCCTCTATATACAAATCCCAAGACATGTCACGAACTTCAAATATTTCTCTGACCTTACCACACGAACATCTGTGCAATTCTGAGTAATCTGTTATTTTGAGACGCGGAAACTGGAACGGTCCAGTACAGGCATGAATATTGTTTTCATTGCTTTAATGGCGAAAGAAGATTTTAACAGGGACGGAACCCTCGAAGCTGTGCGTTTTATCATCAATATTCATGACAGTTATCCATACGAAGAGCTTAAACAGTATTTTCTGTCCTATAAAATGAAATTACTAGGAACCTCCTGGGATCTGCAACCACGAAAGTATTAAACTGCGTTGTGAACAGCCTTTCTGTCACGTGGCGTTACCCAACACTCAATCTCTTCGAAAGTTACGTAAGGCAAGAAATTAAGTTTGACGATATTTTGTCAGGTTATTTACTCTAACTCCCATGGGATTCGATTTTTGATAAGGTTACAGGACTTTCTCCTCTCTGCCAATTCCAGATTTCTTCCACGTGCTCTCCCTCCCGGCTTATATTTTATACTGACAGCGTTCCACAAGTCAGACGAGAAATGAAGCTGATAACTCACCTCCACTTTGCGTCGAAGAGTAGAACGCATTTAAATTTACATTCGCGCCGCTTATAATTTATTGTCGTGTGATATTTAAGCCTTGGTGTGTATTTGTAACATTTATATGATCTATACACGAGGAAAACAAAATATAAACAAAATGGTTTGATCTGTGGACCAAGTTTGCTTCTCAACGAATCAGATTTTACACGTTCTTGTAAAAGAGTCTTGTGTTCGGTCATGCCCCACTGTTGGGTACCTGTAACAGTCCAGTCCCTCAGATAACGCGGTTTTTAGCCACTCTTTACTGACTGACTTTTTAGTTACGTTCTTAAATTTATCAGTGTCTAATAATTACTGGTAAGTACTCGTATTGTGATAGCCACGGTGGTCTAGCGGTTAGAACGCTGGCCTTGTAATCCTGGGGTTTCGGGTTCGATTCCCGGCGGTGCCCGAATTTATAACTTGTGTTGGGCAAGGCCGTGGTCTAGGCAACACGGAGTTTTCCTCCGTGGCATCTCAACAATTACTCCATTCACACACAGAAGAAGGCAATGGCAAACCACTTCTGGATCATCTGCCAAGAACGTATATGAACAGGTCCCAGTCCGAGAAAAGGATGGAAGGATCCTGTTCATACGGACCTGTCGTCAGACAATACACTGAATAAATAAATAAACTCATATTGTCTGGTCTTAGGTATCTCGCAAGTGAGGGATTTATTGGGGAAATGTAATAGTTTAGGACCTCTTGAGATAGAAAATAATATATCGAAAGGGAAGAATTATCTAATGCTGCTAAGTGACGAAGTGATACTCAGCTGTTGTTTGGAAGTCAGCGGTTTTAATATAAAAACGTAAATTTTTCGTAGTTTTTTTTTAATTTGCAATTTTTTGTGCAAAAATTGTATTTTACAATGCTAAAAATGTTGTTGTTCACTCACACACATGAATATGGAGTGTCACTGGTCTGATAAGTTATGAAGGCCTGAAGACATTCAAATATTTTCCACTGATTTTCGCGTGGAGTCATACGAGTATACCAAAAAATTAGAGTGGATAGGTTTGACTCTCACGAAAGCAGAAATATCTTTTTGTCTTAAAGTTTTACAAACTTCGGCTTATATCACGCTCAGATATTCGTTTAAAGAATTAGTCTGCTATGACTTATTGTTTCTGAATTCTTATTTAAAATGGGTCCTGGTAATAAACACTTTTGTAGTTAATTTTCCCATTGGTAGACAGCTGACGTCAAATATAACTGTTTCATGTACAGGGGCTTAGCTTTCGTGTTAACCGTGTTAGACAGACCAACACTTTGAAAAACTAAACATAAAGTCCTCTGTCCTCTGCGTGGTTAGCCAGCTCTAGCCATCTAACGTTTTGTATGAATTGGTCTGCTGTCTTCCAGGGTTTAGAGTACGACTGAACTACAAAAATAAGACAGGAGACATTTGTTTTTGATTTTCGACGTGTTAGCAATTCTAACACGGCTGACACGGTTAACGTAAAAGCTTCCTGAGCTTGGCATATGGTGAAAACTATAACTTATGATGGTTAAACTAATACATATTACTGTTCCAAGCTGCCAGCATCGATCATTTGAATGACTTTTAACCTCTAGAGACAGACGGTTAACAACGCAATCCCAGGTTACAGATTCTTCAAGTAGTAAATGTATAATGTCTTATGCCCCACACAGGTGTCAGTAGCTAGTACGAGACTATGAATTTAAAGAACACATGTTATATAAAAAACTATTAATTCAGCTAACCTGAAATGATCGGATATAATATGCAAACCTTCTGAAATCTGACTTCGTAAATAATAACAACTTTTCATATATATTTATTTTCACAGTCTATACACAAACGTTGAAGTTAAAATGATGTTGTTAAAATTATATAATATTAAAACATTATGTAGTATAAAATATTATATTTTGGCGCTTTTTTATTTATTAAACGACATGTTTCGATGGATAAGACCTCATCTTCAGGTTTATATCAATTTTATAATATTTTAAAATTATTAGATATTTTTATGCAATGTATTATATTGATCTGTGGTTTGTTTGTAGATTTTCTATTTTCATGATGAGTTGTTTGTTTTGTAGTCAGACGTTTATTTTCTGTGGAATTAATGTTTAATTATTATCATGAAAATGAGTATGGAATTGACATAGGAAATAAATAAATAGAAAATATAAATGTAAAATATAACGAAAACATACCAAGATGTGTTGTGCGGAGTGACTTACGTCTG